TTTAGAATCTGTTTAAATCATCAAGTTGTCATTCCAAACGTTTGTCATCTTTGAATAATGGCCACCGTGTCTAAACACAAGAAAGTGAGAATCATGAAGCAGAAGTTAAAACTTTTCCGAGCCAATGAACCATTAAAGAGTGTACTGATGTGGGGCATAAATTATTCGTTTTCTGCTTTAAATCATGTTAAGCAACGTGCACTGTTATTAAAAGACGATTTCAAAGCATATATGAAAGTGAAGGTTAATAACCACCATTTTAACAAGTAAGTTTTGTTGTATTAATGTGGACTTATGCTGACGAATGTGATTCTAGGGAGAATATGCCAAGTAGATTCAAGTTTAAGGAGTACTGCCCAATGGTGTTCAAGTCATTGCGAGATCGATTTGGAGTTGACAAGATGGATTATTGGGTAGGTCGTTCGGAGTTGGTTTATTTGTTGATAGTAATATCTCCTCCTCCTTTTTAGAGGAGATTCATAACTTGTGCATACCGGTTTTTGTCTGGTATTTAATTGTTATGAAATTAGATTCTGTTCGTTTGATGGGTTTTATCGACAGCTTTGAGTGGTAGTCTGCAATAAACCTTGGATATGAAGAGTTTCTAGACAGTGCTATTTTCACCTTGTTATTTTCACCTTGGAAGTTATAAGTGCTGACATTTCAAAGTTATATCCTATTACGAGTCATTTCTCTGTAAATATGCTTATGTGATAGTGAATTTGTGGTTGTTCTAAGTTAATTAGAGCGTTTAACTATTGAGTTGTAAGTTAGGACCTCACACCATCTACTCTGGTTTACACAGTCACTCAGTATTTGGATCGCCCAGACAATAAACTGCACTCGAATTTTGAGAACACGTCCCTGAGTTGCATTATAAGTTGTGCATGTGGATGAATTTTTATGGTCTAAATTAATTTATAATTATATATGCAAACGACATTTGCAACAATTAAACAGTTGTCTTGTTATTGTTTCACCAACTACACGGCTGTAAATATATGATCGTTGGTGCTTAATATTGTTCACATGTTTTTAAATGTCATGTTGATTCTCTAGTTTTTACTCTTATTTTCTCTGTTTCTGTCAATCAACAGTACAGTATAGGATGTGTCTCAAAATGATCTTGTACCGTATTCCCTTCTACCTCTTTTGTATAAGTCGTCTTGTTTGGTGATATCAATGTAGAATTGATTAACTTGTTGTGTCCAACATTGAGTTAACTTGGTTCAACATCGTAAAACTATTGTTGTTAGGTTGTTAAGGAAACTAGTGGTTTGTTTGGTGTTTGTTAACTGAGTGCCAATAATACATGAATGCTTGCCCTTCACTGTGAAGGTACAATGAACAGCAATTGAATGTGAATTGGCGAGTGTGATCTGAGTTGTTACTGAATATATTCTGATAATTGGTAGCTTTTTAAATGGGAGCTACATTACACGTTGGTGAAGTATGCAGTAGAAGAAGCCAGAATATCAACTAGTGTTCGTCGGTCTATATGTTAACTGTACTGGGTATACATTCAGATACTGAGTGGTGTAAGTAGGTCGTTGTATCAAGTGATCACTTTTCATAGAGTGGAGTCAGGAAACTGTTCTCGTTGTAAGCAAAGATGGATAGTGGCTAGCAGTGGAATTCAGGACACGCGCTTCGTCCTATTTGGGACTCGTCAGCCGGATACACCTGCATCTCAGAGTCAATGTTCACTCTGAGACTCGAACGCAGTAATGCTTGTGAATTAAGGCTGTATCAAAATATTGGCACAGTATGCACATATGTCAATAATAGACTGATCGATTGCAGTCCTAAAAATCAATGGGAAGATTCAACCAAACAATACTAAATAAATTTAAAATTCACCCCATTGCACAAGCAAGTGGCTATCAGGACTCAGTAGCTAAGTGGATAACGCGGTAGCGTTTAAAGCGAACATTACTGGGTTTGGGTCCTAGAGTGAACGTCGACTCTGAGATGCAGGTACACCCAGCTGACGAGTCCCAAATAGGATGAAGCGCGTGTCCTGGATTCCACTGTTAGCCACTATCCATCTTTGCTTACAATGTTTGTGAATTAAGGCTATATTGAGGCAATAAGCACAGTATGCACATATGTCTATAAGATACTGAACGATTGCAATCCTCAACATCAATTGGAAGATTCAATCAAACAATACCAAGTGAGTTTAACTGTCCTCATTGTTTAGCATTTAGTTGTGCGTTATGTAGTTCAAGGTGATTGTCGACCAAATTAGAGCATTGTAGGTATTTACTTTTAGATGGAATAATGTTAACGAGTCTAGAGCTCCATAACATTGTATTTACTGCGGACGTTGAATGTGTCGACCTCCATTCAGAGTGACCGATTCTTGACTAGTCATCACGAACAGTCCTCATGAATAGATTACGTCTGGTTCTTTATCATTACTACACAGAATTCTCCTATTTCTGATCTCCACTTCAGGACTCTTTCACCAGACACCAACCATTGTGGGATAGTACACGTGGGAAATCTGGATCGAAATTTCTAGTCACGTATAACCGACAATTTGTGGCCAAAACAATCAGTTCAGAAGAAGTTGAACAAATGCATCAAATGTTAGAAGAATATTATTCCGTAAGTTTTTGCTCTACTAACGGGAGATTGGATTATTTGGTTGGTATTTAATCTGATGTAACAGTGAACCACTAGTTTTGGTCAACGGGTGTTATTATGTAGGGGTGAAATAGTGCATCCAGTTGGAAGTTGAACAAACTACTGTTAGCAGAATCAATGTTGGAGTATGTGTTGTCATCAGTTTACATCTAGTGATTTCTGATGATCTGTAGAAGTTAGTTAACTAGGTAGTTAGGTGATAGGGAGTAAGTGTTACCTTATGTGATAGAAACCAATAGTTTTTGACTGATTGATGTGAATTTTCAACATGTTCTCCTACTGTCGATCCACTTAAGATAAGCAAGTTCATTTTGGAAGATTTACAGAATGCATTGATTAGTTACTTATTGAGCTAATTAAGCATTATAAACTGTTCGCCAAAGGATTCAACTACGAGATGATCATTCGTTGAATTCTTGCAGATGAAGATTATTGTACAATTTTATCTGTAAATGGTTGACCATAAATGTTCTTATCTAGTTACATTTTTGTCATTCCAATTTTTACGATGTCATGAAATGATTGGACCCTTCATTGTTCTAGTATTTCCCACGTACGCTGATGCATTGTAGTTTTACCATATTTTAATGGACACAGAAGTTGCTTTGAAAGCAAACTGCAGGTGTATACATTTCACACCAGATATACAGATAATGCGTATTACAGATAGCTTAAAAACTCTTTGAGCTTATATTAATTGTGTTGTGTGTGGGAATTGTTAATGTTGACCAAGGAAATGTCTATTTATAGTCAACTACTCTACGGATCATTGTGGAACAATCAATTGAATGGAATTCACCACTCTACATCAACTTCATTGACTACGAGACGGTATTTGATAGCGTGGACAGGACAACACTATGGAGGCTTCTTCGACACTACGGTGTGCCTGAGAAGATAGTCAATATCATTCGGAAATCTTATGATGGATTAAACTGCCAAATCATCCATGGAGGACAACTCACCGACTCATTCGAGGTAAAGACCGGTGTTAGGCAAGGTTGCTTACTCTCACCCTTTCTCTTTCTCCTGGTGATCAACTGGATCATGAAGACGTCAACATCTGGAGGGAAGCATGGGATACAGTGGACAGATAGGATGCAGCTGGACGATTTAGACTTTGCAGATGATCTGGCTCTTCTATCACACACGCAACAACAAATTCAGGAGAAGACGACCAGTGTAGCAGTAGCCTCATCAGCAGTAGGTCTCAATATAAACAAAGGGGAAAGTAATACTCTCCGATACAATAAAACATACACCAATCGAATTACACTTGATGGAGAAGCTTTGGAGGATGTGAAAACCTTTACATATCTGGGCAGCATCATTGATGAACACGGTGGATCCGATGCAGTTGTAAGGGCGAGGATCAGCAAAGCAAGAGCAGTATACTTACAACTGATGAACATCTGGAACTCAAAACAACTGTCAACGAACACCAGTCATAATTCTCAATACAATAGTCAAGACAGTTCCACCGTATGGGGCGGAAACGTGGAGAACTACGAAAGCCATCATCCAAAAGATACAGGTGTTTATTAACAGTTGTCTACGCAAAATACTTCGGATCCGTTGGCCAGACACTATCAGCAACAGGCTACTGTGGGAGAGAACAAACCAGATTCCAGTGTAGGAAGAAATCAGGAAGAAGCGCTGGAAGTGGATAGGACATACATTGAGGAAGTCACCCAACTGCGTCACAAGACAAGCCCTTACATGGAATCCTGAAGACCAAAGGAGAAGAGGAAGACCAAAGAACACATTACGCCGAGAGATGGAGACAGACATGAGAAGTGTGAACCAAAATTGGATAGAACTAGAAAAGAAGGCCCAGGACAGAGTGGGTTGGAGAATGCTTGTCGGCGGCCTATGCTCCATTGGGAGTAACAGGCGTAAGTAAGTAATGTAACTGTTTGCTGATGATGAAGGCAAGTAGTGTAGCATTTGTCCGATTCCTTTGTCTAACGGATTTCATTGTTTTCTCGAAGTAAATCGGTGCAGTGTGACTAGATGAAGTTTGTAGATGTTTGAAGAAAAATTCGATTGAAGTGTGATTTTTATTGTCTTGTCAATCGACCACAGTGAGTGTTTTAATTGGAAGTGGTTGACTGTACTTGGAGAAACGAAAGGAAACGCGAGTTGTTGAGGTTGCTGACTTATGCTTGTACCAATCCTACTTCTAGACAATCTACCAGTCGTATTGACAGAGATCAAACAGTTAACAAGTTAGTCAGTCATTTAGTTATACACAATGATAGAGCTCGCACACATGTGCATTGGTTGAAGTCGTCTCACTCGGATCAAAACATTTTCATGTTTATTTCCTGGAAATGTCGGTGTAGTTTAATTTGATGAGTAAATTAACGGTAAATAATGTTGAATAGGCCGACTTGTTTATTAGATTCATGAGTAAGATTTTGTTGTTATGACGCAATGATAAACTCTTGTGTCATGTACATTGTTGTATCCCATGTAATGTAAAAACTGACAGTAGATGTTGCTCGTAGTTCAGCACAAAACGCTACTGCTATTGAGTTGTACCAAACAGATGGTTTCAATGTGCATCGAGAAAGACACTTGCTTCTACAGTAATGTGAGAACGTCTAACGTTTAAGTATTGAACTAGTGTTGCTCTCAGTGTGGTTCGAGTTTTCATTATTGTTTGTTATTGACATGCAGCCTGATTGATTGTTATCTTCCAATGTGTCTCTCTTCCTTGTAGTATATTGTCAAGGGACACGGTCAAACACTGCTTCCTCAATTTCTTGGGCTTTATCGACTTACAGTGAATGATCAGGAGTCGTATATATTAGTAATGAGAAATGTGTTCAGCCCAAGACTTGCAATTCACAAGAAATATGATTTGAAGGTAACGATCTGTTGATTACTAGTTATTTGTGATTGATTTTGTGTGTGTGTGTGTGTGAGTTTGTTAAACGTGAATGAGTGAGTTTGACACAGTGACTTTTGAGGATGGAGGTATGATTTTGTGTAGTTTACTTTAATAAGTGCAGAGTTATTTGTGTTTGTGTGCTTTCCACATTTTCACCTGTAGAATATTCTGTATTCAAGTCATCATGTGAAGCGTTCTGTAAGTATCCACTCCTTTGTCGCTCATGGGTCGACTCAATTGTCGAGTTCCAAGATCAACATTAATAATGCTGTGACAGTTTTAGAAAAGGAGCACAAACGTCGTCTACGGATTAAAAAGCATTCGTTTCAAAGTACCACAGGTGTATGTCATGTTATTGTAACTTCACACATGCATCAACCTACTCACCATTTGATTTGTTTCTCTTTCTAATGCCCTTGTGGTGTGAAGTGTGTTGCTATCTTATGCTTCACCTTTTATCGCTACTCACACTGAACTAACCAAAATCCCAGTGTATGTGTTCAACTGATTGCGTTTGTGTTCGTGATTGTTTTATTTATTTATTTATTTAAACACATATATATTGGTACAAAAGGGCACCAGGTACATATGCGCCACACAAAATAATGAAAGTAGGAAGAGAAGGGATGAAATGATAAGGCGGGCTGAAATGTACAACCAGAAGACTTTCAGTTAGGAAAGTTAGAACCATTCTTTATGTAGAAAGTAAAAGAAGGTTGCAGCAGGATCGCCACTGGCTTCTATTCTGAGCCATATCTGATAACGTCTCTAGCCACTGTGTTGCACTATCTCTCGGACCCCAACCAGGGAGTCGTGAAGGACCAACGGAAGCTAGCCCTTTGCAGCTCTCTTTCATGCCACGACACCATGTCATACACTGACCTCCTCTCCGCTTTTTCCAACCAGTCCCAGGGTCGGCAAATAATGCACGACGTGGAGGTCTCTGGGACGACATTCGTAAAACATGTCCAAGCCACCGAAGTCGGTGTTTCAAGATGGTGACACCAATTGAATTATCGTCTCTGCGCCCGAACACACGATGCCGAACCTCTGCATTACTAACATGGTGTTGCCACTGGATGTCAGCAATCCTTCGGAGACAACGATGATCGAACACAGAGAGACGTCTAACATCCTCAACTCGGAGAGGCCAGGTTTCACAAGCATAGAGCAAAACTGCTCTCACCAACGCGTTGTAGATCCGACCTTTTACAGCCAGACTAACATCACGAAGGCGCCAAAGATGGCCCAGATTGGCATAAGCCGCTCTGGCTTTCATTATACGTGCATCGATCTCATCACTCACGCCACCACCAGCACTTATATAGCTACCTAGATACACGAACTTCTCAACTACTTCGATCTCCTCACCATCCAGGGTGAGTACAGGATGAGAATCCTGCCAATCTTGTAGGAGTACTTTGCACTTGGAGGGTGCAAAGCACATGCCGTACCTGCGGACACTGATTACCAAGTGATTAAGTGCTGATTGCATGCCTTGGGCATTATCGCACAGTAAGACAATATCATCCGCATACTCAAGGTCGAGAAGTCGTTCTCCAGGCAACATATCCACACCGCCATTACTTACATCCACCAGAGCTGTTTCCAGGATGTCGTCGATGGCAAAGTTGAAGAGGAATGGTGAGATCGGGCAACCCTGTCTAACCCCACTGCTCGAATGGAACAAGGGAGGAAGGTGGTTGTATGCCCTCACTCTGCCTGAGGTGTTCGTATACAGGGCCTTTAAGATGTTAATGAACTTCTCAGGCACACCCTTCTTCAATAGACAATCCCAGAGAACAGTCCTGTCCAACGAATCGAAGGGCGCCCTGATATCAAGAAACACTACGATTGTTGGCCTGCGATAAGTATGACGGTGTTCTAACATTTGGCGGAGGGTGAAGATGTGATCAATGCATCCTCGACCAGAACGAAAACCAGCCTGCTCCTCGCGAGTCAATCGTTCTCGGGTTTTAAACAACCTACGAAGAATGATAGAAGCCAATAGTTTGGACGCAATCGGAAGTAGACTTATCCCCCGATAGTTATTGCAGGAACAACGTGAACTCTTTTTAAAGATAGGGACGACTATCGACTCATTCTAAGATGTTGGAACACTTTCTTGCTCCCAAACCTTTCCAAACAACGCAGTCAGTTCCTTAGCCAGAAAGTCACCACCATCTTTAAAAAGAGCCGGAGGTAAGTCATCTGGACCCGGTGATTTGTAGCGCTTCAAGAGTTGGAGTTCCTTGCGGACTTCCGCCTCGTTTGGTGGATCAGTCGTCACCGGCCATGGGGGACAGGACAAGCTGGTTGATGTTGCCGGAGCAGCAGGCCAGTTGAACTGCCCTTCGAAAAATTCCGTCCATCGTCCAAGACGTCGACAGATGTTAGTGATTGGCATCCCGTCATCCTCGTAGATTGTTTCACTCACACCAGACTTCTTGCTGCCAGTGGCTCGGATGAGTTGGAAGAGCTTCCGGCAGTTACCAGATGCAGCTGCTGCTTCCATCTCATTAGCACGCTCCGACCACCAGGCTTCCCGGTCCTTACGCAAGCTTTGCCCAATTTCATTACGTAACAGCCTTCGTTTGTGGTCAAACTCACGGTCACCCGGAGTAGACCGACGGGCTTCCATCAGTTGTAAGGAGCCAGAAGAAACCCAGTGCTTGTAAGCGGGACGTTTCGCGAAGCCGCAAGCGGCTTTACTCGCCATTTTCATGGCGTCGTGAAGATGCAACCAATGCTCATCTATACTTTTCGGTGGGGTGGTAGCTAGCCTAGAGGCTAACTCCGCTCGATACTTACTTGCAACAGAAGTTGCAGCCAGTTTACTAACATCAATCCGTTGGTGGTGGTCAATCCTTCGGCCACTAAAAAGTAAGGTGAGATTGGCGCAGACCAGGGCATGATCAGACTCCAGATAGGTACTCCAAAAGGAGCGGCAGTCTTGTACACAACCACGCCAGCGGTAGCTGATCGCGATGTGATCAATCTGAGTCCAGGCTTGGGATGCAGAGGGAGGACGCCAGGTGGCACACCGGCGATGACTGTGCCGGAAGTTAGTGCTGGCCAGAAACAGGTTGTGGTCTGTGCACAGTTGCAGCAAACGGTCACCGTTATCTGTCCTGCGACCAACAAGTCCCCATCGGCCACCTAGACGACTCTCTTCTGTGCCTAGACGCCCGACCTGTGCATTCAAGTCTCCGGCTAGTACTACAATATCTGTCGAACGCGCTTTCTGGAGAAGAACTGTTAACTGATGGTAAAACTCATCCTTGATTGCATCCGGGCTGCAATCTGTCGGGGCATAGGCGGAGATGACAAAAAGACACCGTTTCTCACGCCGATTTCTTCTCACTTTGATGGAACTTTCTAATCTAACAGCACATAACCGACTGTTAATGGGGAACCAATCGATTAGTGCTGCCTCAGCCCTAGCGCTTAGTGCGACACCAACGCCAGCAAGACCAGACGAAGACGCCACAGGGTCCCCGGATAAGCGCACGTGGAACAAGCTTTTCGAGGCGACAGATGGAGAGCGGATTTGTAGTACTTCACTAGAGTCTTGAATACGGGTCTCGGATAGACAACAAACATCAACATTAAGACCTTCCAAAGACATAGCCAGCCCTATCTGTTGTCTGATATGCATTAGTGTGCGAACGTTGAAGGAAGCCAGCTTGAACGGTGTGTGTGGTTTCAGAAAGACTGCTTCAGTATTCATTATCGGTGGAAGCATTCACTTTTAACCAGACAGTGACTGGAGATCGTTTAGATAGGACAGATTTTCCACCATGGGCGAGCTGCTGCATAAGTTGAAAAGTAAGGTTACACAAATTGGGGATAAAAGGGGGTGAGTTAGCGATATGGTAAATAATAATAATAATAATAATTATTATTATTATGGAAATCCAGAACTCCGCTCATCGGGATATCACAAGAACATAATTATTGTATCGTTATTATTATTGTTAACTTTCTACCCAATGCTCAATTTATTTGAAACTATCAAGTCCAACCCTGGTATTGATACCCATAGACGTAAAATGTGTTTTTTTTCACTTACCTCTCTTCTGACTTGCTCCTCTTACTTCCCTCATGACTCCACTTCTTTAAATTGTAGAGATCATTTGGATGATTTACTGGGATTTTATTATTTTATGATGCGGTTGAATAAGTTTTGTATTGTTGTTTTTAAATATTTAACACTTAACACTTCAAACCACTTTCTGACTGCAAGCCTAGCTGACCAAGTTCTGAAAAGTGATCACAGTTGTGAAGATATTAAACATTGGTTAATCTTGTGTGCAACGAGTTTTCTGTTTAACCTTCAACCATTAGATCTCAGTTATAAATCCTGTTCCACGTCGTTTATGTTATACAGATGTTATTTTTACTGTTACACAGTGAGTTTGACTTGGAGACAAAGTTGCAGGTACGTTGTACCCGTTAGAGGTGTATTGGACTTATTGTTGAAACAACTTTCATATTTCCATATGGTTCGCTTATTTCAATATTATGGCAAACAGTCACAGATGTGTTTTTCAATGGAGACTTATCAATCGTATTTTCAAACGGTTACCTTCCTTGTGTAGATAATTTTGCTTTTTGTGAAAACTTTGAAGTAATAATTAGTTTGATCCGTATGTAACTTCTCACGGACGTGGGTGTTAACTACTGTTTTTGTCTCTGTAGTGGTAATCACTTACCTGTTTCGACTATTGTTTTTGGACTGTACTCATCATCTAACGAATATCGTTTTGCCTAATGTTGCCCAACAAGTTGTTGAGCTAATCGCCATACACTATATCCTTATCCTCGTAATTAGGGCTCAGCTGTGGATCGTGAAGCCAACGAAAAAGAGAAGGTGAGCTGACAACATTTTCTTTCTCTTCGTCATTATCATCGTTGTCTTCACGATCTTTTTCACTGTTGTGATGTTTCTGTCTCTGTGATATCGGTCGATTTTCGTGATTGCATGCAATGTGTTTGTGCATTTATTTTCAGTGTGTTAGGTGAACGTGTGATTACTTGCTTAATCAACAGGAAACATTTGAAACACATGTCTGTGCGTTGTAGTTGAATGGTTGCTGTGATAAACGCTTAGATATGGTGTTATGAAAACTTTTTTATTTATCTATTCTACCCAGTAAGTATAGTGTACACATAGTTATGTTGGTGGTTGGCATGATCGATATGTTATGCTACCAAGGACCGTAGTCTGATTAACTGTCTCAACCGATTGTTTATATTTGTGTGAAACAGATTGGGAAGAACACCGCAGTTTCTTGATCCAGTGTTGATTTTCATCCTTACACTTATATTGTTGGTAATATCGAAGAAGTTATTGAACTGAATAGTTGGTTGTTGTATAGCATCACGAATCGATTCGAATGAAGGAATTTAGTGTGAAATATGATGTGGCAGACAAGACTGAACAACGCATACAATAGATGGGATTGAATTTTAGTCGAGGTAATGTAGGTGATTTATTCACCTGAATGAGATCACCGCCTAAATGTCTGTTTGGATAATTTCAAATGGATATAAATACACATGCTAGTACAACTTTTCTTGCATTGTCAATTTACTTCATATGTATAGCTGATTGATGAAGTGTCCACTGACCACTAAATCAGATCGTAGCGCACAGTTAAATGGGATAATGCGTGTCTTCTGAATTTCAAGTAATAAATGACACTTAGACATCTTGTTTATTAGTAATAGTGGGTAAATTTGTGTAATGGGAACTAACTCAGGAAATGATGTTTTCTTAAACGTTGAGGGTGTCTCATTCGCTTTTGGAGCTACAAACCTAACCACATAACTACTTGCTCATACGCCAACCAAAGACCGATCAGGAACTCCGTGTAGTCGTAAACAAGTTGTATATAGTGACAAATACGGAGACTAGGGAATGTGTAGAATGCAGTACTGATGTTTCTGTGTGACTGTTTATGATCGTTAACTAATTGCCGTTCACCTTCGCTAATGTGATATAATTGTACAATTTGAAAATATGTGTTATCAGATTATATTGTTAAATGTATGTGCATTAGAATGTTTTTTTCGGCATGCGACATTACTTTGCATGTTATATGTCTTGAAGTTTTATTCACCAATAAAATACCTTATGCTATTGGAGCCTATGCTTGACAGAGTTTAGTACTGTACAATGAAGAGATTGTATGTGATTCCTATTTGCGGACTACTTGAAGTCTTTTGACTAAACAGTTGGTTAGAAATGGTTAGAGTAGTTGATATCGATCGCTTTTCTATTATCACTTGTCATTTTCGGAAATGTATGTAAGGTAGTCACTTTTTGAGCTAAAATTGATGTTATAGAAGATGAAGTTTTATCTAAGGGCTACATGGTTTTGTGGATTATTTGTAGGGTGAACACATGGAGTAGTGAAATAATGGTGCAAGATGTCTACGATCTGTTGCGTAATTGGTCTTTAGTGTCTTACTGTATAGTCAGTACATTCTAGAATTATCGATTGCGTAGTATTAGGTGTTATTCGAATTGACCAATGACAATTGAATGTATAATAACTAAAGTCAGTATTATGTGAAATGAGTTTGCACAGATAGAATGTTTTCTATGGATGTGTTTATATGTATGTGTGGCTTTGTTAAGGACATGAAACATTCCTTCGAATTGATACAGAGTTTAACGCTCATAATGTTCTATAATTGTTGTATGGTCAATGTGATAAGTCCACATTTAAGTATAGATTTATGCGTAGGAAATAAAAGTCAGAATTAAAGGTGAACTACTGATGGTTTATGGGAATACATCTGAGTGATTACATCCATGTTTCAGTAAAACATTGTGGTCATGCATCTTGAATAAAACGTAAAGGTACTTACTGTCCGACTCTCGAGAATGCAGTGGATTTAGTTGGAGGATGGCATTATCTTGTGGACTATTAAGCCAGATGTTTACTTGATACAGTTCATAAATAATAGACACAGTTATGATTCATTGAAAAACTAACGAGTAGTGAAGCGTAGGTGAGGACAAGATGGTTAGTATACGAATTTCCATGCTCAAATTTGTAGTATTATAAACGGGATTATGTTAACGTATTTGTGTGAGCTCTTAACGGACCGTTCGTTTGGAGGCTCAAACCGACCGATAATTTACTGTTTACACGAGAATGAAATACAGAACCGCGTTGGTGTCTAGTATTAGGCAAATACAATTTGCTAAATTATGATTCGTCAGCTATGAACACTATCTGTTGTCTAAGGTTGTTGTGTGTGGCTACTGTCCGATGATTTTGCCACTCAGTCAACTGATCGATTACATTTCTTATTACTCTTGTTAGATAAATTCACTTGAGCGACAAATAACTTCAATTTATAATTGGCACTAATTATCATCGCTGTCATCCTGTTGGCTTGTAGTAGTCTTATCTGCTAACAGTCGGTATTACTGTCACAATGGTCAAAAGTATATGGCATTTATTTATCTCCTACTTACAACAACGGTATTTGCTGTGCTGCATTTACATTGTACAAAACTATGTATGAATATATGATTGTTGTACATAGTGTCAGGCTTTCACCGTACATGCCGTATTGTTGTGTACATCTTTCTCTGCCCATAGTTAAACAACATATGATGTTGCTGTTGCTTCTGTTGTTGTTGTGTACTTTGTAACATTTGTGCACCACCTGTTTCCTTCTTAACGCCATTGTTTTTCTCCTTGTGTCGCTTCATTTTAATGTGCTTGTGTGTTTGGATTTGTGCATTTGAACATAAATATTAGTATTGTCTCTCCTCCTCACTGTTTTAACGTATCACCATTGTGAATGATTATCATGTGTATTGAATTTAATTTTGTTTGTGGTTTTTATTTTTGTGATACCAATTATTTCGTTCACTGATTGAGTGTAAACAAAGTAGAAATGTACAAATAACCAATGAAATCTAATTGTTGAATTTGTATGATGAAGCATAGAATGTATCCTGTTTCGGTACCATTATTGGTAGTGGTAAGTATTTTGGTGTGAGCATCGTGTGAAGGTAGTAAACAGCAGGTTCCGATGTGTTTTCGAGGGGAGGACAATTGAGGTGACTGAGTTGTCGCTTCTTGTTGTAGATGACACAGGAAATGCAGTGCTTTCACTTGATGGGGAATGGTGAATCTTTTTTTCTTAGTCATTTTGCCGAAAAAGGAGACTTCTTATCGGTGATATTATGTGTGTTGGAATCAATTCCGGCATTCAATAGGCACATCATCTGCGTTCGCACTCATCAACACCGTGTGCATATCACTCAAGATGATGGTTCAATGTTTCATGTGATCGTGTGTGGTTGGATATGGATTGAAGAGGGTTGTGAAGGATAATCGACAACGTTTTGGAAGTCGGCATTGATACCGACTAAGTAATCTGTGGAGATGTGGATATTGATTGAGTTTTTTGGCATCTATTGAAGACGAGATGTGTAGTCAAAGTGAATGTATGTGTAAATAGGATAACGAAACCGTAAGTCGTAACTTTTTTTTCAGGCTTATCTGCTGTAAGTGTGAGTGTCAAAAGCATTGTTAGGGGTTCATCAACCTTCATTTGTGGTTCACTAAACAAACTGTCCAATGTCCCTTCATAACTTTTGAATTCCGCTGTTACAAACCATTTCAGATGGTGGTTTAGATAAAGTAGCTTCTAAGACACATAATTTTTCATGCAGAAAATCTAGAATACAACGGGACTCTTGTGATTGTATATTATTATTATTATTATTATTATTATTATTATTATTATTATTATTATTATTATTATTATTATTATTATTATTATTATTATTATTATTATTATTATGGAATTCACACTTTCCACCATTTGTGATCTGTAAATCAACACTTTTCAGATGTCCTGATGAGCGAACCTTTGAATGTCGTGTGTGCTACCGTAGGCGCAGGAACTGTCCTTAGTAGTTTTCTGCTCAGACAATCCACCATTGGTTTGTTTACTAAGTCTGAGACTTGATACTTGTTATGGAAACTGTTGGGAGTCTATTTTGAGACAGGTTACATGACGTGTTTTATTTCATTAGGTGATGTGTGTATGCTGTGTACAAGATTTCATGGCTTACCTAAATGAGTTCATTTGTCTACAATTGTCGGACGTGAAAAATTAAGTAATAACGTGGTTTGATGTTAGAATGAATATGAGTTGTGTGAATTAGTTTGTCCTTAGATTGACCTCCTTTTTGTTTCTATGATCTATGAATGGAGATGTGATCAATTTTAAGGAGAAACACATATTAATTCTTGTTGATTGTAGACAGGTATTTTGAACAGGTGTATGCACGTGGCGAATATTTTTTGGTGCTTGATATGTATCGTATAGACGAGGCCAATTCTCTGAAGTATTTCGATCGACTCCATTCGATCGTTAAATTTCTGAATTTTAATGCGACTGACGGGGACTACTTTTGTTTGGATATTGTTTCATCCCTCAATGTTTAGTTGTTTTTCTCTGTTGAGCACAATACTAACAAGTCGTTGCTGATGGAGTAGTGTACTTACCACTTACAAACTTGTAGACTTTTATCCAGATTATGATTAGTTACAATTAGACATGCTCTGTGTAGTCTGATTCGACCAAAGATGCGAGGCATTAAGTAGTTGACTTTGCTGGTTGGTGAACTGAAACAATTATCAGTGATATTGAGTGTTTCAGCTTATCGTCTGACCATTGAGGGAGGTAGTTTGAAGCATGCGTTGATGAATGTGATTTGGAAGTTGATGTTGAGATGTAGACTTAATAACGGTATACTCAGTGTCTGGACACGTGTATTATCTGTGTTATGATAACCTGTTCACTTGGTAATAGTTGACTGAGTGAAATTCCAATGAAGTTTCGATTATACACGTATGGTGAGATGATGTGTCAGTCCTAGTCTGTTGATTCGTTGTATCGTTTGACCAACTGTGATTATTGGAAGGAGCAGGTATCTGAATATCCTTGTCAATGGAAATAGTAAGACCGTGTTGTGAAGTGTTTGTGTTAACCTCCGTTTAAATCATGCATAAAATCTGTTTGTTTATCGAGTCAGTTGTATCTGTGTTCTGTTTATGAGTGTTACAAGATGATTCATTAGTTAGACTGGTGGTTGTTGAATCGATAAAATGTATTGACAATACTACCCATCCATGGAAATCGTTGTTCTGAATTGACTAAGTGGATGACCTGAATATGAGAAATGTTCCATGTAGTCATATCAGACACTATTTAACATAGTGTTGGAGTTGTCTCAACTCTCATTGACCATCGATATTTCAGTCTTCAATTATTTCACATATTGTCAACTATGGAAGAGTTATAGTCTCGTTTGACATGAATCACTGGGATGCGTGTCAGTTACCGATATTTGCAAGTTGGTAGGTTATCATTATGAAGTTACAGAAAGTTTCGTTTGATCGGGAGAGTAACAAATGAAGTAGGTACACCAATCGTGTGTGTGTGTGCGTAATCATAGTGACTACTGAGACTAAATGATCGGAGTAAGTGTGAATCACTGATGCCTTGAATTGTTTCACGTCACCGTGCATTAATTGTTCTGTGTTTTTTCGTTTATTTTTATTATTATTTGTATAGTCGAAGCCTTTACCGACTCTGAAAGATGCAGATTTTCTCACAGATTTGTGCAAAATGCATATTGGTGAAGAGTCTAAAAAGAAAATGTTAAGTACTCTGGAATGTGATATACAAGTAGGTGCTTGCTTGATTGATTGACTGATTGAGTGAATAATGCATGTGTTTTACCATTATAATATTGTTGGTTTCGTGTAGATTGATTTGTTCAAATATGTGACGTATTTTCCAAGGTGTCTTGCAGTTATATGCTGTGTATACTACCAGTTGTAAAAGAAGTGTAATTGTGAAATGAATGAATAGGACCACTGACTGACTTAACGAATGTTTGTATTCTTTTGGAAAGTGTGTAAAGTTTGTGATTGGTAGTGGTGTGAGAGTTTCAAATTTCAATCGTTACTTTCGATAAGACAAGACCACATGTAGTGCTTGTGTACGCTTGAAGTAGTCATGTCATTTGTACTTCATAAAGGATCGAAATCTTGCAGGCGTTAAGAATATGTTTTACGTTGTTCTTGACAGTGAATTCCACATTTGGATGCACTTTTCTACAATTGACAGTGCCATCTTCATCACCATTCCTATTAATTGTCACCATCATAATCATCTTGTATTGCGATAGTTACTCCCTTCATTTTCATGTGATTAGTTGATCTTACTGTTGATTTTAGTGTGTCACTGTTATGACGGGTTGTTGTTCAGTGTTGTTTGACGAAAGTTTCCAATTGAGGATAGTTGCAGTTATTGTCATTCGAGAGTACAGTGTGCTGTTTATCGTTATGTGCTATTATTAATCAATAATATGGTGGTAGTTGTGGTTTGTAAAACACTTGACCATCATATGAACCATTGACTTCGCACATAACCCTGACGAGATTTGCTTAGTAGATTCCATATCACTTAATGCAGTAGGAGAGGCGAGGTGTTTATGACAGTGTGTACAAATCCACTGAGCATGTTTGGATTCACAGTGTATATTGAGTATGATTGTGAGCAGTGGTGAGTGAGTAGTGAAAGCATAGTAGATGGAAAGTCAGCGTCGATAGGTAACGGTAGATAACTGTTCAGACTTATCAATGAAATGAGTGTTAAGAATCCGTCTATTAGTGTGACAATCTCGGGAAAAGTCGAGATTACTATTGACTTTGAGTCCAGTTGATTGGATTGACTGACAGAACAGTGGGAAAGAGTTCAACTGGTCTTCATTTATACTTGTGACAATCACAGGTGAACGAGTTTAACTAATATAGTGTCCAAAATATTAGGCTGAATAATACTTCGACAGCTAACTTGTGCTAATGGAGAGCAAGTCGGAGATAACGGGTCTGGTTTCACATATTTTCCTTAAACATTGTCATGGACATGCTTTCAGAGATAACACATTCATCGTCTGGCTGTTGAAGGATTGATCTTCTACCAGGCGATTGTTTTGTCGACTGAGATTACGCGGATGATATAGTTGTGTTTGGTGAAGACGTTGACAGAATACGGAGCCTTGTAACCTAACCACCTTAAGAAACAATGAAAAAATATGGGATGTTTCCCTCTTTGAATGCTGGAATTTACTTTGAGATTGGTTAGCATCAGTGCCTGAATTAATAATAGAGGTTGAAGTAGCTGAATGTATCGACCGTTTGACTTGTTTTTGAAGTGTCATCAGTCCTGATGGTGTGATGTGAGACGAAGTCTCTTCACGAATCGAGAAAGCTGGATTGGCTTTTGTCAACTTGGTTAACTTGTTGCACAGGTAAGATATCCATCTGCTAGACAAAGGACGGGTTTACTGCGCAGCATTTCACCCCGTACTACTTTCTGGATGTGAAACACGGCCATTAAGAATAGAGGACATTCATAGGTTACTAGTAGTTGATCGTAGGCGTCTTGGAAGCATTGCTGGTGTATTTTGGGAGTACCGAGTAAGTAGTGCCTGTGATAGGAATATGGTACTAGGTCAAGAATGCAACTGAATGATGCGGTAGTTTTCAGCATAAACTTGGGTGATTGGGATATGTGCTACTTGTATGTCCAACCACCACCGACCTCAACAGACGATGTTGTGGGGTGTAGGGGTAGTCTGAAGTAAAGCTGGTGGTGAACAAACCAAAACATGGTGTCCGTCCATGAAGTGATTGACAATTGGACTGAGCGATGTGAATGGGTGTAGACTAGCTGGTTAGAATCCGCATGATTATTGTAACCAATGATCAGAGACTTTGATTGACATGACTGAAAATTGTTTATGATGACTCAGGAGCATCTACTGTTTGTCTCCTCCTGAAATTCTGAGCTCTCGAGTTCCTCATATCTTTATTTGTGTCTTCTAATTATCAATTAGTTTGCTCCCATTGTTCTGTTCTTCTTTCTATTACATCGGTAGGTGAGAATGAACTTGACCTTTTGTTTTCTATTTTGTCTTTGTTCGCTTCTTTTCACTAATGATGAGTGCATAGTTTCATCAATATGATTTTAGGGAGACCTTGAAAAACTCGCTTCTCCTTGTTGTTGTGTTTGTTTATGTTTCCGCAATTCTGATGCTGATCTACATGCATCACGTGAAGGAAATGTGTGTGTGTGTTGTGTGACGTGATAACACTACCAGGAGTACTGTTTTGTTGTAGGACATGGTGTGATGTGTTGCAACTGTCTACACCTACACTTTCAGTCTTCATTATTAACGTATGAATTATTGAAGCTATGAATAGTGCATATCTACATTGTGTTCAGTGTTGTTGTACCGTTGTAATTTATTTTTAATTTGATTTGGATATTTGTATGTCGTATGCTGAGTCGTGAAACGGTTGATGTGTCTGGACTTTTTATTTCGTCCTAAATCGTGTTTGTAGTGCTGCGTAAAATTTTTGATCGCACTCATTGATCATGTGAGATTTTACGACCGTTACTATTATTATCATCATGAATACCGGTGTGTGTGTGTGTTGCCACAATGTGTGCGGATATGTGCAGTGGTCAACATTTCCTTGAGTAGAGAGGTGTACGATGCATGAGAATAGGAGGTGATCGGAATCGTGCAAATAATTTTAGAATTGATTTTATCCTGCGTGTCTCCCACCATTGATGTGTGTAATTTACATGAGATCGGTTCAACATGTCCTGATGCACCTTGTCACGCTTGGATATCTAGACTATTGTTAACTAACAGCTGTGCTACGTTGATTTACTGTGTCATTATGCGGACCCGTTTTTGAAACTAACCTAACTACCATGTTACTAATCGGAATAATTATCGGGGACGTAAGAAAGATTCGTGAACTGCAAACACGAGAAAACTAGACTGACTTGAAACGTGGTTGTGGCTACATCGATCATGTATTGACTTTTCCTTAGATTGTAGAACACAGACATACTTATCGGCGTCCGACAATGATGGTTTTCCTTGACTTTGAGCAGTATTTGACTCTGTAGACCGAGAGGTTCTGTGGCAATGTCTGACGTACCTCAGAACTGCATAAACCTTGTGATGAAGGCTCTTTACTCGAACACTACAAGTCGGATCAGAGCTTATGGCGAACTGTCATCTGATTTCGCAACCTCAAATGATGTATGACAAGACTGTCCACTGTCTTCATTTTTGTCTAATTTCATCATAGACCTACTACTGGAAATAATGTTCTGGTCGTCTGAATTTTCGTGAATCGGTCTCCTACCAGGGTGTTTACTTATTGACTTAGAATACACAGATGATAAAGTCCCGTTTGGTGAAGACGCTGATGAAATGTAGAGTCTTTTGGTAGCACTGATTAACAATGCCAGGATGTTTGTGATGCGTTTCCCCATTGTAAATGGAAATTGTTGCTTCAGGCTGGCCTGTGTCAACACCTGAAGTGAGAATAGGGAGTGAAGTTGTCGGACGCGTCGACAACTTCATTTATCTTTGGAGTCTGATCAGCGCTAATGGGCTGGTGTCTGACTAAATCTCTGAGTGAGTTCGAAACTCTCGTTTAGCTCTTGTCAACTTACGTCACCTATGGAGAAGGCGAGATATGCGTCTACCAATTAAGGGACGAGTATACTGTTCATCAGTTCGTCCTGTTTTACTTTACGGCTGAGAAACATATGAATTGAGGTAGAGAATAGTCGTAAGTTACTAGTATCTGATCGTTTTGTTGTTTATTGCAACCGCACAGATTATTGTGTGTTTGTTGACGATGATGAGTGCAGTGAGAGAATGTGTCGTGATAATAAATTGATAGTAGTTTATCATTGAGTTAGTAATGAACAGTTTTTCCATTATCTTGTTTTGGTAACTAACTGTGACTTTTGATTATTGCTCTAAATATGAATGAGCAACTATTGTATTTGAACACCGATCATTGTTGTGTCGACAGTGTAGTGTATATTGTGAAATGAAATCTCACTAACAAGTGTCGAACGACCGAGTTGTGTCACAGGGAAAAAGAGTTGGTTGGATAGCTAATCAATGTATTCAGTGAATGGATTGACATGATGTGCATTTGATTGTTGATGTCTCTCTCGCGTTTGTGGTAGACATTCGACACGAATGTATTAGATTATTTAGTGATGCATGATGTTGTGATTGTGTTTTTATTTATTCGTTTCTCTTTTGCTTCGTGACAGTTCTTACAGGAGAACAATTTGATCGACTACAGCCTTCTCATTGGGGTGCATGATCCTGGGATTGCACTGGCTAGTTCACTTGAGGATGCCGGTGATGATGGTGAAGGGACTGGTGGTGCTGGGGTTGGTGGATGTGTGGGTGCGGGTGTTGGTGGAGGTGGTGGTGTGTTGGAACCTAACAGTCGGGGCTTCGATGATAGGATGGTGTCTGCAGGTGACGGTCTTGGATCACTTAGCTCACAATGGCAATGTGGTCGTTTGTCGATGGCCAGATCGAGTATTGTGCTTGGTCTGAGCTCGTCAGCAGCTGTTGAGGCTGCTAGTTGTGGTGTTGGTGGTGTCGGAGTTGGCTTTGGGACTGGGAATGCGAGCACAGGTGATGATGACGATGAAGAGGAGGACGGGATCAGTATACCAGAGAATAATGCACAACTCCCTACAAGTATGTGTGATATTGTTATTGTTGTGTTATTCCATTTGTTGTTACCGAATTCAATTTGACTGTCTACTCTGTGTTAGCACTAATTAACATTTTAATTGTGGTTGGATTTCATCGACTGACTGGCTGACTGGTTTTTGTTGTCGAACGGAGAGTTGTGTGAATAAGATTGATGTTCTGCAACTACAAATGTCATTGATTGTTGATGCAAGTTGTACAATGAGTTAATTGCAAATGGTGAATTTGTCACCTGATTTTCGTGTGTGTGTGTGTGTTTGTAATATGAGTGCATGATTGAACAAACAATGCTGCACACGTGTATAGAAACACTTGATGAGAATTTATTTTAAGACTGATTGCAGTGAAATGTTATTACTATTGTGAAGTGGTGATTGTTTTTTATTTTTGAATGGATGTGTGCATATCTCTCCGGGTGCAAGACGTTGCTTAGTAATGTGTGTAATCGCTGCAAACAGACAATGTTTATCATGTACTTCCTTCCAACTCAAGTGGAATGATTCAGTGGTTCTCCGATGATATTCCATACTTTCAATATGCATGTTTGTTTTTGTGTGTAGTTGTGCATGTACGATGATCTGGATGTGTTGTGCGTTGGTGTATTATTAGTACGGTAATTTGTATCGTGTTCTGCTCTTGACGATTTCACGTGGCCTTAATGTCATCATAGATGTAATCAATGCATACTGCGGTGCCTCCTGACAGTGGAAGGAAGGGAGGAAGAAAGAAAGATGGATAGTTAGATAGATAAGTAGATAGAGTGGTGAGTAAACGAATCCATGGGATTGTTTGATACGTGAAATCAATGACTGTTTGAGTGACCTGTGTGGTTGATTGGAGACTGTAGTTGAGGATGGATTAGTGGTGGTAGTGTGCAGTTAAAGTGATTTGGTTTTGGCAATTCATCTTTGTGGTCAGCTGAGTGACCATATTGTGTGACTATAGGTGCTGAATTGGCTTGACAAAAAGTCGATCCTGAGATTGGGATCTCGGTGATCTGTTTTCTTGTTTATGAAAATACTGATAGTTCTTCTTGTTTATTGTTCATCTTGTTTAGTTCCTTTTTGACAATGCTGATGAGAGTTGAGTTGTGGCGAGTTGGATTGATATGAATGCATGCATGCGAGGTGATTTACTGTATGTCTATGAGTGGTTGGTCGGATTGTGCATCACCTGAATCGACTAGTGTTTGGTTGATTGTATAAGAATTGAAGACAGATGAATATGCAGTTCAATAGTTGATTTGATTTTCTGTGTATACTTTCTCTGTGGATCGTTTCAGGTGAATTAACCCCACCCGATAGTCCACCTGGTGCAGAATGTCTACCTCAATTATTCTCAGGTGAATTGCATCCTACTTTAGAACATTATGGAATCAAAAGTTCAATTGGTGAGAGGAGATTTTGTGTTTGTATTTTTGAAATGAAATATATAATAATGTTTAAGGTTTTATCTGTGTGTGTAGCATTAATTCTCGTTTGTACAGAAAGTATGTGTCGAATGTGAAGATTTTCATTGAGACTGACTGGGTTAGTACTGTGTAAGTTAGAAATCGACGGGATTTATTCTTATTCTTTTGATTAACCTGACATCATATTTGTGCAGTGATGTTAGTAGAATTCAGGTGAGAAACCAACCTCGTAGTTGAATCTCGAGTTAGTGATTTAGTGTGATGATGGTGCAACTGACCTGTGGGGAATAAGTGAATGAGTGCTAGTAGAACAATTATCCGAACCAACACATTTCGATAGGGTCATCACAGTAAGAAAACATGGTCATCACATTGAGGTAGTAATTGTAGTCGGTTAACGTTCTAAAAGAGGAACAGATGAGACGTGAGCAGCATCGAGACTGTTTCGTGCACTCCCTGAAGTCCAGTGTAATAGGAAGTTACGAGAATATTCTTGATGTAGACTATTGAATATTTTTCCATGTGTATTTATCCGATTGTTCTCTGAGATTCGTGTTTGTCATAACCGTTTATTGTTTGTTGTTTATTGTTGACTAACATGCACACGGTACACGTAATTCAAGAAGTAGGTTTGTGAAGTTGCAGTGAATGGAAGTCGTTTGAATGACAGATGTTTGAGTGAAGTGAGTGAACGACAGACATTGTTTCAATAGTAACGATTTGTGATATATATATTGATGAAATATGTTGCTACCCATATGGATCATGTTGTTGTGTTATCTTGTTTTCGATGTTGTTTGACAGATTCTCCTCATCCACTGATTTATTTTGTGGCTATTATCGACATACTAACTCGTTATGGGATGCGTAAACGTACAGCGCAAACTTACAAAACAGTGAAACATGGTGCTGATGGTGGCTCTGTGAAACCGGAATTCTACGGTCGTCGTTTATTGGAATTTGTTGAACAGTGCATTGACTGAGGAGAATGAGGAGTCTTATTGACCTGTGTATGAATGTACGCGTCGTTCTCTTTATTTATTTATCTATCTTACTGTGTATGTATATAGTTTGCTGTATCCAGTTCCTATGTGTTTGTAAATAAATTCGTGCATATCTGACTATTCAACTATCCATCTGTACACATAGGCTGTTAATGCATGCATCCACACATACATACATGCATTTACATATGGACACACACACTCACATACAGTATGCATAAATAGATGGGCATGGACGTGTTGCCCTTTGTTGTTCCAGTGTGGAAGAATTGTGATCAGAAACCTTGTTCCTTTTGTTTTGTTACATTTTTCTTCTGTTGAGTACTTGTTTCTCTTTTTTTGATTACTTTGTGGACACTTTGGAGTGTTCAACGTGTATGTGACTTTTCATTGATTATACTGTTTCTTTGAAGAATACTGACTGTGATGTTTGGATAGTTGTTGAAGGTGGAATGATGTTGGATGTGATATTATATGGTTAGCTTAGTGTTGACTAATTGTAAGCAGTGTGATTGTGTTTATTACATGAGAATTTACTATTATGAAAATGAATAATCAATACATTATTGTTGTTTTATGTTGAGATCAGCGGAGTTTAATGCTATATATTTTTGTCTAGAACACTGAAAACAAGTACGGTATAAATTTGTGTTATCGTGTGTCCGAATTAAAAAGCTATGCATTGCACGATATTGAATTGTTCATGTCAGTTGTTAGATATATCTGAACTCAAGTAGCTCAGACTATACTGAATCTATACTGTTGAGTATCTCATCTGCTTTCGAACTTTTTTTCCACATATTGTTCATGTTACTGATCGAATAATCGACCACCAAATAACGCAAACATTATTTTGATAAAGGCATTCTAACGCTTTATTTTCTGTTTATCAATTGAGTTTCTGTTTGTTCAGAGCCATAATTATAATATACTGTTATGACCTCTTCTAATTTTGTCCGAGATATTTTTATACTGGTCGCGTCTGCTGATAAGTGTAAAGGTGCCACAGATATTCAAGTTTTGACGACTTCTTTTCTGTAACACCCTTATAATTGAATTATACTAATTTAGTCAAACCAAAAGTCAGTGATGAATGTCTTTGAAGATACATTTGGAAGGTTGTCAATGTGTTGAAAGTCGTTTAATCTAAACTGGCTAATGGTTGCAAGGAATGCGTAGCACGGCGTATCCACTCGTGATCTGGTACGAATGTGTGACTGAGCATCTTCTTTTGGGGTTTGTCCTGCATCAACGTCGAAGACTTGCGGAACTATTTATTTTGAGTATTTATTTACCACTAAATTTAACCCTCCCACTAGTGGGGCATTGATGACCGTAAGACGTTACTATCCAGAAGTGTAAACCCAACGACATCACCGTTAGTAAATACTCATTTGATAGCTCGCCATGTCCTGCAGCATCTGGCTATCTTTTCCTTATATAAGGAGCCATGCGGCACAACATAACAGTAAAAACAATGCACAAAGAAGCTTTTGATTTATCGTATTCTTCGTTGGTTTTTCTTTTTTTTCTCATTCCTCCTGGGAAAGTAAAAATATGTGTATTAATCCATATGAAAACACATTCGTATTTGTGTAAATAATCAAAATGTACGAAAAAACCAGTAAATGTGTGCAAATACCGTGCGACAGCGTGAAAAACTTGACAAAGTTTTTCTTTGATTTTTTTTATGGAAAAAATAATCTTCACGTATATTAGCGTTTAATTTATTTAATCTAGTCGGCGTATTTAAAAAAGACAATTTCTTTGGCACGATCATATAAAATAAACTGAAAATGTAATCAAATAGTCGTGAGACGTGTAAAGCAAGAATGAACCAAAGCGAATACTGAGTAATAATTTTAGAAGAGCGTCAGTCCAACCTTCGTTCGCAACTGAATGTGAGGCAATCAACTTCCGGTAAAATCGTCCTGTCAATCTGTTAGCTTGTAGGTGGTAGGTGATCGTTCGAAATCGTGTGATTCATAGTGGTATAGTAAGACATCGGAAGAGTCTAGATTCGGATGGCGCACACGGTTTGTAGTAATAGTTAAAGGACAGCCGAAGTTTGCTTACCCTCGTTCGACGAAGGAATGAGCCACTTTCAGCAGTAATGTCCTTGATAGGTACTGCCTCTAGCCACCATGTGAAACGGTCCATACACGTTAAGAGGTAAAAGTATCCATTTGAATCTGGCAAGGGTTCTACCAAATCAAGATGAACGTGGTCGAAACGAGCTTCAGGGGATGAGAAAGTCTAGGGGACATGTGTTTTGTCTGTACACCTTAGATTTCTGGCAGCTTACACAGGAGCATACCCACTCCATCATGTCTTTATTCATACCAGATCAGCAAATAGTCCTGTTATTGGCTTGACGACTGCTCGAACACCTATGCAACATGTCGAAGACGTTGCGTCAGTTGTGTTTCAGCTTGGTTGGAGGATCCCTACCTGTAGATGTGTCACATAGTTTCCCAACCGTTCACCATCTGTTTGATTCAGGGTTGTTGAAGACAACTCATTCCGAAGATCGCTGCTTTCCTTTTCAAGCTGGGCGAGTTTAAGAGGGTCAATATGATAAGTCTTGCTAATTGAACGCGATACTCTGATCCTAAGCTAGTCTCGTAACCCCCAAGCTAGAATTACACAGCGACTTGAACATGAGAGAGAAAGCGTAAAATATGAGAGTAGAAATTTACTTCAAAGGTTCCTTCATGTACAGAAAATATAGGGTTTTATAGTATTTTAGAAGTCCTTGGGTATTTCTGAGAATTCTGGAATGCTACTAAGCATAGCAGCAGTGTAGTAATCAGCCAATCAGAAACTCTACATGTGACTTTTCATTTTCGTGATGTTTCTAGCAAGACTTCTAGTCAAACGTTGATTGGATAAAATTCTTCTTTATGTTTCCTGAGCTTGTTATGTCTATTGCGAGAAATTTTCAGGATCGCTCCAACACAATCCATTGGAAAATGTCTAATAAATTTATATGAGGCAAAGTGTCTGTAATTAATTTGTTTACCCCAGAAATATGTTGTAAATCTAAAGCTAGCTGCGAGACGTAGTCCAGTTGTGGGGACTACAGTAAAGCGCTTGTCTGAAGACGAGGTTTGTGATCTGTAAACATGATAAATTGTCGACCTACTACAGAGTGTCGTGCAACACAATATATGGCTATGATTTCCCTGCCTAAAGTGCTACATCCTGATTCATTATGTTGCAACTTTCCGAAGAAGAATGCCAAAGGTTGTCAGGTGTTGTTTACCCATTATTGTAAAACTCCTTCGATTGACAAGTCGGATGAGTCTACTGCTATACCAACGGGTGCTTTTATGTCCTGATGTGCGAGTATAGTTGTTTTTGCGGTAATTTCCTTTACTGTGTCGAATGATCTTTTTCACTGTGGTCCAAATCGATAATTTCCCCATTTTCACGAAGTTGGTCCGTTAAATGTTTCATCAAAAATGAGCGACTTGATATGGACCATCAATTAAAACTCAACAGGCCGTTAAACGTACATAACTGCTTGAATATGGTCGGTTCTAGGTAATCCAGAATACCAGCCACTTTGTTTTTCAGATATCAAATACATTGAGCGTAATGATATGCTTGAGAAGGTTAAGGGAATCGGTTCCTGTCTGAATTTTCCGAATATTTACTGTTATGCCATGTCTTCGCGGTTACTTGAAAACAAGATCCAGATGCTGGAGATGGGATTCTTTGTCCGGACTCGCTATCTGACAGTTATCATTACACACGTGCGCGAAGTTGAGACCATTGAATACATCATCGATTTATCTCTGAAAATTTTGTTCAAGATTTCTTTGACCGAAAGTCAACAGAAATCTAATTTCTTTCACATCTCGTGAATCAAATTTTTGAGTTAATTAATAAAACAACTAATTCTTTTTAACAGTGACAGTAGGCAACTTGGTCTTGAAACTTTAAATTCTTATTTCGTTATGTTTAATTTTACAACTCTCTGATTGTGTTCAATTCTCAGGTTATTTATTTTTATACCGATATATTTGATAAATATCTGTGAATTTTATCATTTTCAGTATAGCTATAAATTTTTCTCCATTTATTATAAAGCGGTTGGTAATGTATCATGCAGTCAACTGAAAAATTCAAAATAATCATACCTTTTTAACATTTTCTGAAAAATTGCATTTCCAACAACTGTCTACAATTTATCCATAATGTAGTGAACGAAAACACAAGTTGGGACAATCTAATGTATTGTAATACATTACAGAATATCTTCGTAAAATCTGAGAGCTATACAATAAATGCTTCATTTGCTAATAGACAATCAATTTTCTCAGACATGCTTGTTCCTTCATTTCCACATCAATTATTCTTTGTTCTCGCCCTGTTTTCTTCGATTTTCTTAATCTTCTGCCTCCAGGCATTTCACTTTCGATTATGATACATGCCATTTATATCTGTCGACATGAGCAGCACACACCACACTCGTCCCCCCTCTAGAGCAGTCGTTCTTGTTCGCCGTGCCACTTTCTTCTTTTCTGCAGTCTGTGCCACACTATCCGTCAAAATGTCGAGTCTGAGGCGTGCTGACCTTCATAGCTTTGTTGATTTGCCAGACCATCAAAATCCGATGCACTCCTGGGACGTTCGACGATTGCGCTTTAGGATCTTCTTAACCTTCTACCACCTCTAGGCATTTCACTTTCGATTGATGACACATACTATTTATATCTGTCGACATCATCAGCACACACATAACCTATTATTCTTAGTAAATTTATATATTCAACTTAAAATTCAAATCAAAATTTGTTAAACACATAAATGTTTATTATCAAAAGGGGTTTTGTGGATATTATAGTAATTCTAATAGTTAAGATCATGCGTCAATTGAAGTTAGAGCACCGTGGAAAACCTTGAGGCACTGAACAGTCGTGGATGCGTATTACTAAGGAATCCCACAATAGGACAAAACACCTATCCAGCGCTTCCAGATTTTCCATGGTGGTTTAGCTTCAATTGACTCATTATCTCAACTATTAAAATTATATAAATGTTTTACAGGAAATGAATATTTATTACAAATGAGAAATTAATTTATTGATTTTTTCCCCATCTATATTCAATAGTCAACTTATTTTTCATGTAATAATGAGAAAACTTTAATCACACACTGTGACAATTTAGTTGCTTATTAATAAGAATTAACTAAGTACTCTAATAATTTGAATAAATTCATATGGTTAATCGATAAACAATTTGAATATTCTTGGTGATTAAAATAAACCCCAAAAAAGAAAACCGTGCATTCCCTGAAGTTACTACGCCATTTTAACACAATAAGATAAGTTACAAAGTAGTCGAAACAATATGGTATCCGAAGTTTCCCTTAGGATAGCTGGCATTCTGAGAAATAAACAGTTTTATCCGGTAAAGCGAATGATTAGAGGCATTGGGGAGAAATCATCCTCAACCTATTCTCAAACTTTAAATGGGTGAGAAGCTTAACTCGCTTGATTGGAGTTTTGCATTGAATGTGAGTGCCAAGTGGGCCATTTTTGGTAAGCAGAACTGGCGCTGTGGGATGAACCAAACGTCCGGTTAAGGTGCCTAACACGACGCTCATGAGATACCACAAAAGGTGTTGGTTGGTCTAGACAGCAGGACGGTGGCCATGGAAGTCGGAAGCCGCTAAGGAGTGTGTAACAACTCACCTGCCGAATCAACCAGCCCTGAAAATGGATGGCGCTCGAGCGTTGGACCTATACCGGACCGTTGCTGTAAGCTAGGCCTATGCTGTGTGAGGGCAAGCTGCACTTGGTCTAGGCATGGAGTGACGGCAACGAGTAGGAGGGTCGCTGTGGCTAGCGGGAAGCCTCAGGCGTGAGCCTAGGTGAAGCAACCACAGGCGCAGATCTTGGTGGTAGTAGCAAATATTCAAGTGAGAACCTTGAAGGCCGAGGTGGAGAAGGGTTCCATGGGAACAGCAGTTGACCATGGGTCAGGCGGTCCTAAGTGATCCGGTAAATCGGAACAGAGACGGGGTGCCTGACATTGTCCGTTCGCGGGCTTTGTTCAGTAATCTGC